TTTTGTTTTTTTTTGTTTTTTTTTAATGTGTACATGTATTGCCTGCATATAGGTAAGTGCACCCATGTCGTGCAATGCCCATGGAGGACAGAAGAGACTGTTGGATCCCCTGGAACTGGAGCTACGGACCGTTGTGAGTTGCCATGTGGGTGCTGGGATTCAAACCCGGGTCTTCTGCAAGAACAGTAAATGTTCTTAACTGCTGAGCATCTCTCCAGACCTCGGTCTTTTTGTTTCAAGACAGGGTTTCCTGGTAGCCCCAGCTGGCCTGGAATTCACTATGTAGATCAGGCTGGCCTTGAACTCACAGAGATCTGCCTGCCTCTACCTCCTGAGTGCTGGGATTAAAGGCGTGTGCCACCTCGCCCAGCAGTAATCTTTCTTTTTAACAAACACTTGTTCATACTATCCCCATAAAAATCAATTCATCCCGCCTTTAACAAAATTAGACATCTCAGCTTACCTGTTTCCTTGGAACAGATCAACAGTAGGTTTATTGAGTATATAGACAGCAATGTCACCGAAGTCAGCAGTATTCTACAGCAAAGAAAAGAAATTCACCCATAATACCTAGAAAGCACACATTGTGACCTTGTATTTTGGAAGGCAAAGTCTATTTATGGTTAACATTATTTGTTAGCATCCCAACTGTGAAGCCTATTAAGTTGCTTAGTTTTAAAATCCCCAATAAAGATGTCCTACCAAAGAAAGACCTGCTCACTGGAGTCCAAGTAACTGTACCAGTCCCAGTCCTTGACGTAATTCAAAGCCCAAGTAACATTTAGGGAACGTTTGGGGTGACCTGGTTTTAAGATCACATTACGAAACAAAGCCTTGTAGTCTATGGCATGCATGCTTTCAGGATTACATCCGGGTGAGAAAGTGGTTTTCAGATGGGGGCCGGGGTGAGGGGAAAGATCTGCAGTGATCCTAGGAGTGTGACCATGTGACTTTAGTCAACTTGTTAACTTCCTCTATCTCTATCTCTTGTATAACCCAAAGATATGGCCAAATGATATAATGTATCATTCCAAAGTTATTACTCAAGCTGTACATTATTCCATTAACTTAATTCGCTTTCTCTCCATCTGGTCTCTCTTAGATAAATGCAGACTTCTTTCAAATAGTGGGGAATTTTCACTATCAAGTATGCTTTAAGAATGAATTCATGCCTTTGTTTAGCATATCTGGCTCATTATCAGACCTTTCTCAAGAAACAGTAAAATTAATAGGATGTGGGAAGTTAGATTATTTCTGAGCCATTTAGATAAGCAGACATGATAACGCAAAGTAAAGCTTGCTTAAAAAAAGAAGGAAGTAAAGAAAATAAAATTCCAGTCTCCAAATGAAAACTACTTACTTCCCCATACAGGGAACAATGTATCATTTCAACTGGTCAACTGGTGGCATAATTAAAAGCGATGATTTTCCCAGCCAGTACTGTGTTGAGGGGCACTTGGCACCCCAGGCACTCTGTGTGAGCTCCTGACCCTCTCCCGCTGCACACCTGCGGGCCCACAGCTCTGGGCCAGCTTGGAGGCCACCTCCTCTAGCCGTTTTTCCCCTGCCCTGGGCAGAAAGACCACTCCCCAGTGCTCTTTGATCCACGGTATTTTGCTTCCCCTGGAGAGTGCACCCTTGGAGTGATGACCAGGGATTTCAGAACAGTCACTAGGACAACAGACTTATTATAGAAAACAAGAAGGTCCAAGTTCCACAATCTGAACAGACACCAGGAGAAAGGACAAGAAAGCCAACAGCAGAGGCTAAACTGTTCTGTTGGCACAGGGGAATTTAGGTTAATTGTGATTATGGAGGAAGTGCATTCAGATATATATTTACTTGGCTAAGATCCTTGAGTGAGGAAGGTAATTAAGAGAGGAAGTTCCTTGTGAACTGTTCCAAATGAGGGACACGAGGATACTAACAGCATTTGTTAGCCAACTCAGTAGTTCTGAGATGTGATGGAACAGGATTTGACTTGCTGTTAGAGAAAAAGATAAAGGACTAGATTGCCTTAGAAACAATCCGCATGCTGAAGAAACAGCTTCCAGTTCCACTCAAATGTTTTCAGAGACACTGAACACCAAGGGGCAACTTGTATATGCACAAGTGACAGGCTTCCCAGTGTAGGTAAGGTGGGATCTGCCATGTGCTGCTCAGGGATGACCACAGGCCCTGTTGGGATTCTCTTGGGACCAACCAGGACTATAGAGGAGGCATTACTACAGACCCAGGGATGATGGATGAAGAGTATGTCCTTCTGAGAGGAAGATGGACCTCACAGGAAGGGCTGATGACTAACATCTACAGAATGGCTTGCCGGAGGTGCTAAACATGGGAGAAGCTGGGTACTTAATAGCAAAGAGGCATTCTGAGAACATAGCTATGGTATTCCCTCAGCTAACGAAGAACTCCTCCACCACATGGTTCTTGCACATGGTCCCCCTTCCCCCATCGTCTTTATAGACAATGTACAGCGGGCCTCCAGCCAATGGTAAAGAGGTGAGGAATCTTTTAATAAGCTCCTATCACCCCTCTTCCTTGTTCAGGAGGGAGAAATGTCAACGAGGGAAGATTTTTAATAGTGCTCCCCCGTCTTCTTGCCCACACCTGAACACAGTGGGATGAGGTAGTCCCAAAATGATGAAAATGACCCACTTTCTTCCACATCTAGTGACATACTAGCATCCTGCAGAAAATAACATGGCAGGCTCCATAACCTTTGTCTTGAACCATGCAATCTCTGCAGATTTTCTTCTTTATCCCCCATCCCTGAATACAGATCTTTCCTTCTTTTTCTTTCTCTCCTCCCTTGACAAGGTGTTACCATGCAGCCCAAGCAGGTCTCAAGCCCATAAGCCTCCTGTGCCAGCCTCCTGAGTGCTGGGATTTCAGGTGTGAGTCACCACACCCAGCCTGCTCTTCTCACCTACAACTAAAAACCAATATAAAACAAAACCTTTTCTATTAGGTCCCTAGAAAAGCAAACTGTGCATTTAAGAACTGCAAGAAAGTAAGGTACACCAGATTCTGCCTTACAAAAAGGAAGGCTTTTTTGTTTAGATTTTAGAAAAAGTGATATGTTGAACGACTGATTCCAATAATTCTAGAATGACTTAAGACCCCAATCCAGGCTACATGGCAGACAGAACCAAGAAGAATAACAGGAGAGAATGCGATGACTTGTCTGAATATTTGTTTCAAGTTTAATAATGACCTTATCTGTCCAAATAGATAGTTGAACACAGAATTATGGTTTCCTGCTAAAAAATACAGGTATTCTTGTGCTAATAAAGAGGATCACAAAAGTCACCTGGATATCACATCACATAGGCTTCTAAATGTAAATGCTGGGCAAAAGCTGGTGGCTGAAAGAGGCATTCTCATGTGACAACTGGATTGTCAAGGTCTTTCATGTCTGTCTTTGACAAGAAAGGGATCTAGAACATGTAACTGTACAAGGATGGTGGGGAGAAGTGACGGGTGAATTGGAATTCTGAAGAATGTGGTTAAGACTTTTAAGAATCCTCATACTACCAACACTTTTAAAGATATGGTATAGGAAGTCAGACATGGTGCCCATGAAGGAGGCTCAGGAGTTTAAGGCCAGTCCCAGCTGCACAGCAAGCTCAAAGCCAGCCTGGGCTATATGAGAACTTGCTGCCCACCCCACCCCCATCCCCCATCAAAATATGACTTCCAAAGAAATGAACACACCCCCCCCCACACCAAGATGTGATGTAGGGACATCCTAGATTCTTTTGTCCCTTGAGAAAAGATCTGTTGGAAACAGATTCTAGACTCTTGGCTCAGGGAGCAATCTTCAAAGACCCTCTAGCTGTTGTCTTGCCCTAGATAGGAAACCTCTCCGCCCTCTGCCAACACATACACACCCACATCTGCAAAATGTCTCCTAACAGGGAACACTAGGCAACTCATTCTGTTGCTGGAAGTCCTGAACGTTGGAAGACAGGCTGAAATCACTACCATCACTTCTACCTCTGGGTTTTCACTTTACCTCTGGGCCTGTCTGAATCTACCTGAATTCTAACTTCTCTTCTACCTAGCAATCCTTTAGACTACAGTGCTCTTTGACTTAACCACATCCAATCCTTTCAACTGTTCATCGTGTCTTTGGGCTGTCAACATCTCAAGTCAAGTTCTAAAGGTGCCTGTGACAAGCACACAGACATAGCACCCGGTTTTAGTCCAAACAGCGTGATGCATGATCAGATTTTTAATTCTGAGTTGGGCATTCTACACTTTTCAAAGGCGCCCTATTGTGGGACTCATTTTCCTGGCGCTCAGGTCACCCTTTTCAATGTTGAGATCGATCCTGTGTGCCACTTTAAGCAGAATGCAGGACTCCACCTGGATATCCACTACATTTTATACCTCAGGTCTTGTGAGATACTTTAAAATCGTTCATCCTTCTTACTCTGTGCTGCCCACCTCAACCGCTTTGGTCTTTGGTGTGCCACTCAGCCACTGGTGGTACTGAGGAGACCCAGGGCACCTGAAATGGCCAGCCTTTAGCCAACTCCTCAAGTCAAAGCCTGGGAGTCAATGTGACCTCTCACTTGCTGTCTCATGCCCCGTGTCTAACTCTCCAGTAAGTATACCTTATCATCCTTCAAAAATATCCAAATGCATCAGTTTTTTCTCTACTGCCACTGGTTTTCTGGGAAAATGCACCTGTCTCTTGTCTCTTTAGACCCTGTGTACCACTTTATAACAACACTCAAGTTAGCTAAGAATCAATGAACTTACAATTAGGATCTTGTTTGCAAATTATGTGACACTATGCCAGTATCTTGGCAAAATCAAGACATTCTACGTAAGCTAGGCTGTAACCTGCTAGTTCATACTTTTCTCAAAGGGTGTTAGTTTGGTGACTATCTAGGAAAGTTTGCAGCCTCCTCGGGCCCATATTTGCTGCAGTAACTGTGCATAAGCAAGCTTGCTCTAGGATACTGCTTGAGTATACCTTATAATTGGCTAGACTTTTGTTGGTCTTGAAACCTGGGGTGGAATCTGCCCACTTCTAGTCCCAAGGGCTACTCCTGCTGTCCACAACTTTCTGAGTTGTTCGTGACAGTGCACTAAGATACATTTATTCTACTTTTTGTGAGAAAACTTTAGTTCATGTCTTAGTGAAATTCTAGACACCTACTTTATATGTGTGTGCATACTCCTTTTTGTGCGTGTGCATGTATGTACACGTGTGTAGAGGACAGAGGACAGCCTCAGGTGTCATTCCTGGGAACCACCCACCCTCTGTTTTGAGATAGGGACTCTCCTGACATGGAACTTGCCAAATAGGATGGGCTGGCTGGTCCTCAGGCCCCAGGGATCTGCCTGTCTTCATCTCCCTAGAGCTGGGGTTACAAGTGCCAACCACGTCAACTTTTTTTCCACATGGGGTTCTGGAGGTTTGAACTTGGGTCCTCATGCTTGGGTGGCAAGCACTTTACCAACTGAGCCATTTCCCCAGAGAACTTATTGGTCTTTTTGAGACAGGGTCTCCTTGAGTC